TCAACACACATTTACCTAACGCCAGAATAAATGTAATGTACATTATGCAGCAAAGAAAATTAGAAGATCGGACATATATCCATTATGGAGATGATAGGTTTTGGACGGGCGATGTGCCTCGTACACAGAGAAGAAGCTTTTTAGTTATCTAGCTTTGCTAGCAAAGTCGTTAGCTAGCAGCTAGCTAATAGCACAACAACAGCCTAATGTCTGTATGATAAAAATACTGAATCGATAGATAAGAACAGTTTTTCCTCACCTGTCTGTCTCCTCCCCTCAGTAGTTCTTCAGAGTAAGCCAGACGCAGAGGCCTGTCAGTGTCTGTTGTATTTCATTACCTCTCTGCTTAAACTGAAGCAGAAACGACACAACGTTCAACGTTTTCCGTCATCTGACAAGTAGCAAGTCTACTCCACTTTATTCACCAAAAACGTTTTTTTTTATATATATATAATTCACCAAAAACTGTTCTGTAATCTGGAACGTTCGCTACGTTGAGCTCCAGTTAGCCACCTTATCTCACTGCGTGAGAGGCAAATGCGTCATGGGCAAAAGGTCAAAGGTAACAAGGTGACCGGCTTATTATGATGTACAAAAAAACCCTAATAATTTTAGTACATGTTATTATGTATCATAAGAGGGCTTAGGAAATAATAATACCAACAAAAAAAAAAAAAAAAAAAAAAAAAAATTGACCAAAAGGGCACTTGGGGGCAAGGAGCAAAGGGGCAGGTGCTCAAGCACCCTTAGTCCCCCATCACCCTCTCTGCACGTGCCTGGAACCATCTGACAGAAGTGAGGTCGTGATCACTTCTGTCAGTGAAGTGACACTGACACTGGCAGAAGGCACTTCTGACCACCACCAGAAGGGTAGGAAGGTGAAATATCTTGCCCACGGACACAATAACCGAGCCAAATAGACCAGGGGTTTGCACCGGCAACGCACCGTTACAGGACTAACTTCTACCACCAATAAGAGTTTATCATGGTGTGCTGCCTTTTATTTTTATTTTTCCACAATTTATTCTGTCTGTTATGTAGGGTAGGCATTTTGGTTTTGTTTATTAATTCATAGTGGGTGTGTGCCACTTGTGTCCTAAAACTATTTGGTGCTCCACATAGCAGTTAGTAAACTCATCTTATTGCTCTGAAGGTGATGCTCAGTACTTCCAGTCATGCCTGGTTCTATGGATGTAGAGTCCATAGAACCATAGAATGGGTTTCTGTCTAATTTACTAACAAGAAAAAGGTGATTTGCTAAAATTTTCATTAACTAAATTTTTCCAAAGGACCCTTTGTTGCATTAAAACTAACAACAATAGCAAATGATTTTAATATGCATAATTTGTGTACTATTGTCAGTTAGGAGCTTATTTCACTGTATAGAGAAGAAAGGGTTGCAATCCTCCACAGTTCGACTTATGTTACTCATTTTTTATCTAGTACTAACTTTAAAAAGTCTTTCAGGTTTGCAGACAGAGAGCAGTACAGTTTAGTTTGCTTTAGAGAACTGAAACGTCAATAAAGCTGATACAACACTTGCTTACTTCACACAGGGTAAACATATAATCAATAGATTCCTTAAAGTCAGCAAAAATTATTTATTTTTTAAACTAATTTTCAATCTCTCTAAATGTATTTTCATTTGTTCTTGATGAGTGGTAACAGCACAACCCATAACAAAAAATCTTTCCATCGTATTTCTGTCCCTGCTTAATCATGTGTTAGAACTGTGGGAGGCTGCCTGAACTCAACGCAGAAACAGGAAACTCTTAATTTTTGGCACAATTAAGCCCACCATTAAACTGAAAAAAGAAGAAAAAAAACCTCATGTAGCTGCTTTAAATATCAGAATATCTTTTTTGAAGCCCAGTTAAAGCTAAATTGTGAATATAGGCATGGAGAGGGAATTGAATACATTACCACTGCATGTCTATGTTCATCTGTGTTATGTGTATTTATTTCAAAAATAAATAGGCTAAACAAAAACTGCTACTGTGTGTAATTAGTTACAAGGCTAATAATGCTGAAATATGTTAATAATTCGTAGTAGTAGAATAGCAAAACCGGTATCCACTGTTATTGATTTATACTTCAGTCTGCAAAAGGCATACAAATTGAGAAAAAAAAACTTCAGAAAAAACAAAAAAAAAACAAAAAAAAAAAACATGTTTGATTTTTTTTTTATATTTTCATTTATTCAGAAACGAACTGGGTTTTTCTTTTTATTTTTGTGGCTATAAATATATTATTGTTCTGTAGCTATACATATATTATTGTTCTACAACAAATACTTGCTCTAGAAAACAGAATTAAAGTGCCAGTAAGCTGGAAAGATTCAAAGGAGACATCCCCAGTCCTCCATGTTACCTGCGTGACAGCTGTGGTCGTGGGTTCATCTCTCTCTTCGCGAGGAAGCTGTTGACGGGCGGGGTCTGGGTCTCTCTTCCTCCGCTGGCTCAAAACTTCGGTCCACCCGCTTCACCAGCTCTGCTTGCTGGGGGACAAGCCACGGCAAATCCAAAACACACGACAGACTGGGCACAAAGGCGCCTGTGTGATCATGCACGGCTGTGCATCCCCCAGCCCGCCCGGTGTCTCCGTCTCTGTCTGAAGCTCTGATCGGCTCTGAGCTGGGCCGGGCCTGGCCAGGCCGAGGTGAGCCGGTCCGTCAGAGCTACAGCGTTTCGGAATCCGACAGGATAAAACAGAGGCACACGCCCAGAACTCGCCCAGCCATCCATCCACGTTCCAGTCGGACCCGCCTCCCACAGCAATACAAAGAGGCATCGCGGACGTGGAGAGAATCCACATATAGCTATCTGTGGGTTCCAACTAAACTTAACCTTATTTTCCAATTCCAACGCATTTATTTATTTATCTTTAGCCTTGTAATCCAGGAAAAAGACCCTGAGCATGCAGCCCAGCTACATTGATCAAAGCACAAGCATTTCTTGAGAATGTAGCAAAACCAAGTGTTCCTTTGGAAAAATAAATGTTTTAACTATAAAACAAAAACTAATGTGTTCATAGCAGATTGACTTGGCTATCAGATAACATCATGCAGCCTCCTGGGTGTTTTTTTTTTTAAAACAAATTAAGAAATTTCCTGGCTGAATATTTTCTTTGTCAATACTCAGTCACAACAAGCAAACAAAGTATTCCTCATAATGCTGTTGTATATTAATATAGAACTCTCTGTTATACTAGGGAAATAAGCAGATCATCTGCAGTAGCAAAGTACCCCACTAGCCCAGATCCTGACCAGATGGCCAACACCTTCTCCCAGCCTCCAACCCAACATGGTGAACAGAAAATGGGGTTGCTTAGATGGGGTGTTGATGCATGTTGGCAGAGATGGAGAACTCTGTCTGCACCCCAAGGACATTGGTGTGATGGAGGGAGGTGTCTGGGGAAGGAGCCAAAATGCCCTTGTAAGCCCTCCTACTGCCCTGGGAAGATGCTGCCCAATTTAACAATAACTGTTTGGTTAAGATTCAGAACCAAAGGATCTGAATGTCAACAGTACTTAATTGTAGTACACCCACAAAAAATTTTGTGACCTGTTTTTGTGTTGCAAAATTAAATTTTCTATCATTTCTGATCAATTTTACACCTTATTTACATTTTATCTTATTTTAAAATGCTTGGAGGAAAGGACTGATAAATGTGAGCAGCAGTGTGATAACTAATTGCCAAGAAACAAGTGTTAAGGAAAAGTATTTTGCAAAGCATGTTCATTTTTCTAACGTTAATAACTTAAGGTTTGCAGATTATTTTGTGTATTCCCATATTGAAAGTAAAACTAAGATTGAAGTGATGAAGTCTTTAAGCATTACAATTTAGTGTTTTTTTTTATATTGAGTACAGTCTGAGTCTATATGATTTACACTATGTCAGCAGGAGTCTAATTTCTTATTCAATATCTGATTGATATTAAATATGTCGATGTGGTGTGGCTGACCCAAAAGCAGCAGGTAAAGATGTAGTGCGGTTTTGAAAATTTAATGAACAAAATAAGAGTTCAACTTACAAAACATGAACATCCAAGGGAACACAAAACAATCCAAAGCAAAACCAAAACTGAGACACGAGGAAATTCTAAGGAGCACAGGGGAAGTGAAGATCATAGAGACAAGCAGGGTAACAAGACAGACTGGCGAGTGATGACTGAGATAGAGGAATTTAAATACTGGGAGGAATTAACCTAACTAGATGAAATGATTGCAAGTGTGAATTGTTGGCACAGGAGCTAGCTGAGGGGCACAGGGAAGCTAAGGAGATATACTTGGAAAGACAAAAGGGAGCAAACATCAACTTTTGGAGATGGCTAGAGCACCAGAGAGCTGAAAATACTTCTAATACGAAAGAAACACTAATTCTAAAAAACAAAAACTGATAAACTAGAAGTGAAAAAGACATGAGGGAAAAACTTAAACAAACCTAAACAGAAACAAGGGTGATCTAACAATAATAAGAACTAAGGAATATAGAGCTAGAATAACTACAAGATTTAAACAAAGAAATAACCGAACTAGAATTACTATAAGAAAGATGGACATAGATTTAGACCAAAAGACTAACTAAACCTAAAGTAAAGGAGTAAGAAAACTAGAAATACTACGGGGGGAAATGTTCGCCCTAATCTCACCAATGGCTCGACTGACTACTGACCAGTTCTCTATCTAACAAGTCCGGAAAATCCCTGAAACCCGGGTCTTACCCTAGAAATAGGTTTATGTGAGATATTCTGTTTAAACTGGCGGCGGAGAAAACTCGTCTAGCTCTAACTACCTTCAATTCCAGAAGTTATGACCCTTTTCAGTTGAGAAACAGTCAACAGAGTAGCCCTCACTGCTGCGTAGTTTCAACAACCACTCCTGTTAACGGTAGCTTTTCCCCTTAAAATAACGTGCACTTGTTACCGGCTAGATTAGATTTTAGTGACTTAGACTAAAGTCCCAGGGTCATTATTTTTACACTCACCAAAGGAAAATACGAAGCCACCACATCTCTAGAATCATGTATGCTAGTTTTACTATAATTAGGGGAATCTACAATGATCAAATGACTCAATTAATCTCAATGTCCACAAGTTTCATTTGAATTTTTAGTATGAAATTTATTAGGCAAGCTTTAGCAGGGATAAATGACAAGCAGATTAACTTTCAGAAATTACAGATTTGCAATAAGTAATTAAATTCAAATTAAGATCAATCATAACCTATTTTCCTTTCTATCCCTATCCTGTGTCACTAGTTTAATTAAGCGAGGCTCTTGGGGCAGTTAAACTCACACCCAGATGGCAATTGATCTTGGCAGCAGAAATCTTCAGATGTCCTTGGTCAGAGTCTTTTGTCCTGATGGAGCAAAGTCCCCTTCAGAATAGAAGCAAAGCAGAGCTGTCCGTTGTCCTTCAAACGCACAGAACCTTCGTCAATCCACGACCTTTGTCTTTTCTCCAAGTCTGCTGCAGTCGGGTAGAGATCGTTGAGTTGAGGTAGAGGAGTTGGTCGAATGAGGAACCAGGGCTGGGGGCAGAATGGATCTTGTCCCTTCTTAGCGGCGCGAAGTCTCAGCTTCCCCTCGGTTCCAGGGTGCGGTCCTCTGCTGGTCTTCGATCTGCGTCCTCCTGTTGCTCTCCTTCAGCGCCGCGGACAAAGAACAGTTTCCTCTCTTGTCTGCTGGTATTTATACCTTTTCTGCCCATAGTTGTGTATTGGAAAAGTCTACGTGACTTTCAAAACGTTCCCCCCGAGTCTATGGAAAGTTGTAATGTTTCCAAACTGCCTCTTCCCTCATGAGTCATTGCAGCAACTCTGTTTGGGACTTCCCTTTTTCCACTGGCCATCTGGTAACTTACTTCCTTTTGTGAGCCTCACAAGCGCCTCTGCCCAATTGCGACACAGTCCAAGAACAGAACCTGCCTTCATCTCTCACGATCTCAAATCTTCAGTTATCACATTCTTTAGTACAACCTAACTCTGCAATTATAAAACATAAACATTTTGTCATTGTATCTACTTATACTCTCAGTATGATTTTCCATTATTTATCTGTTCCGTAACTCAATCTGTTACTGTCTCTAATCATCAATAATCATCATACACCACTTAATAATCATCACACAACAATCAAATTGTCACTGTTATTCAGATCACGAATACAGAATACACATTTCAAACGTACATTACAGATTATTTCAACCATTACATATGTATGTATTTTCATCCATCTTTTAATCATCCTTAAATCAATATGCAAGATCACTATTATTTCCCAAGCCTTTATGCTCCGTTTTCTGCGTGTACCTGGAGAGATCTCACCACTTTATGCCAGTTCTCACAACAGAAGCTAGAAGGACTTAATAACTTAACTGGAACTACTAAAGAAAGATATACATAAATCAGACATATAAGAATAACTGAACCTAGGGTGATGAAATAACTAAGAAATAAACATTGCTAGAAACAATACCGGGACTCAGGCATACAAAAATAACAAAACCTAAGGTAACCAAAGAAAAAAATTATAAGATAAGATGCAAAAGCAAACCCAAAAATCCAGTGTCCTGACAAAAGGTCTATTAAAGAGAATGTGTTAGAAGATACTACAGATTTGGATGTTATGAATAAGTTTATTTGAGGACACTGGAATGTATGGACATTTTAAGGCCCTCATATTTCAGTTATTAGAAACTGGAGAATAGGAATTGGAGCTCAGGTAAATGTTTCCATAATTCAAGATTCGGTTAACACTTTATTTGAAGGGGGGTGAATAAGATTGTCATGACACTTTCATAAACATGACATAACACCTGTCATGAGCATGAATTAGCCTTCATGAATATTTATGACTGTTGTCATAAAGCGTCATTTGGTAAATTATGACACTTTTAATACAAAGTTGACATTATCCAAAATGTCTTTGTTATGACAACTTGACATTAACCAAGAAATCTTTACTGTTTAAACTTTACCTTTAATAACATAAAGTTACCTAATTTTTAAAGTGCAATCAGTAATACTTTTATAACAAATTTATATTAGTAATGATTTCTTGGTTAATGTCAAGTTGTCATAACAAAGACATTTTGAATAATGTCAACTTTGTATTAAAAGTGTCATAATTTACCAAATGACACTTTATGACAACAGTCATAAATATTCATGAAGGCTTATTCATGTTCATGACAGGTGTTATGTCATGTTTATGACAGTGTCATGACAGTCTTATTCAACCCCCTTCAAATAAAGTGTTACCCAAGATTCTGCTAAACAAAAAGACACAAACTGGATGACAAACACTTCACATTGTGTTCATTGTTGCTGCGCTTTTCTGTATTTTTACAGACTTGTAATTTTGTTACCAGGGTACCAATTCTGGGATCACCTTTCCCCAGCATTGGCCCCCTTCCACCCAAACCCCCCACACAGGACTAGGACCGCCTCTGCCTGGCCCAGCCAGCCCAGTGTCTTTGATAGCAGCACCAGTAAGCCCTACAGAGCTCAAGGCCATCCACAAGAAAGTCAACATTACCCCAACATTTGGTCCATTCCCAGAATAGAGCAGACTCTAAAGGAGAAAGCACCTGCAATGAGATGGCAAAAACTTCCACACCAGCTTAAGAGGCACCAAAGTCCACCAATGCCTAGGAACCACTCACTCAAAAAAATGAACTTAGGCGGTTATTACATTAACGAAAGAATATCATGTACTTTTAACACAATAATAATCATGTTGGATAAACAAGAAATTCAACAACTTAACTTTTATGAAATTTAATCATGTTGCAATAACATGATTCATTTTAGTCAGATTGATCTTGTGCTGAA